CCAGGTCGATCTGCAAGTGGCTTGCCACATTCGGCCGCTAAGGCCTGGAACCCTAGCAAGTCCTCAAGGCGCTCCTCAACGCTGGGCATATCTTTGCCTTGTCTCAATCCGCTGATCGAAAACAAAAGTATAGAGCGCTCTTTCTGCATCAAATTCGTGTCAAACTCATCAAAAGGGCTCGAGATGGAAACGCTCGGCAAGCGTGGTAGGCAGGTTTGGCGAAGTCTGCCAGGTCCATTTGAATGCCGGGCGGGCAGCCATGGAAAGATACCCCCAGGCACAAGGGTAGATCATTTGCTACTGCAAGGACGCCACAAGAAACCAAACTATGGTATGCACGCCAGCCTGGTCAACTCAATCTTTGAAACATGCATGCAACAAACTACCTCAGCTTTTGCCCCCATAACCAAAACACCACTTTTGATTCTGGCCTATCTTTGGTAAACGTGAAGATTTGTTGCCCAACAGATCCCAGAAATAGAAGCCAGCCACAAATCAAGGTACTGCCAGCTTTCCTTTTGCCTCCTCTCCCCAGGAAAGGATTCCGAGGCTTGGCGCCCCGGCACAAGGCAGCGTGGCAGGGCACAAGGTCCGCTTCGTCGCGGGCTTGGCGCCTTCGGCTCGGGTGGGTTTGCTGGCCCCTCATTTTGGGGATGCCAAATTTGGTTTCAACCTCATGGATCAGGGGCTTTTGGGACCTGCGAAAGTGCGGGACCCTCAAAATGGGACGCCCTCTATTCGCTTGAAACAAGTTGAAGGCTAGTGGGAATGTCGATTTCAGATTCATCCAGATGTCAGCTTTTGTCAAAGATTTCACCCTGAAAAGTTGCCCACGAAGCCGGGAATGGTTGCCGGTTTGAGGGAGCATGGGCCTGCTTTAAGGGGATTCCTTTGATGCGTATGGTTATGTACCCTTTCCTCAACATGTTTTGTGTGCCCTTCTTTGGGATGGTTGCTACGCTCAACCAAATACGAGGATTCAAGGGTTACTCGGTAGGCTCAAGTCGAAGAGATTTGGAAAGTGGAAAGCCAAGACCTATTTCCTACATAAAGGCTTGTCTCAAAATGTGGGACTACTCCAGGTGGCTGGTTCCCCACGTTTCCTCTTGGCTTCCTTTGAGAACCATCAAGGATTCAAACCCCAAATTAGACGCGTCCAGCAGGCGCCTTCGCATCGTTCGTCGAACAAATGCGCTCCGGTGCCCAGCTCCGTGCAGACCACCGAGCGCTCCTCTTGGAGCTCGCCTCGCGCCAACTGAACTCACTGGAGCTCAGCGGAGCGGCTGGGAACCGATTCTCTGGATTCGTGGCTTGGAAGTGTCCCGGTGTGTCCCGTTTGCGCTCTTCCCATTCACCTTCTACAAGAGCCAGAGGTTGAAAACTAAGGGCTGCCGCGCGAAAGCAAAACCGGCAGAGGGGGGTGAGTTATGTGCCAGAGTAGCAGCTGGTTGTTAAATAATGTATTCAGCTAAAGCCGACAGGGAAAGGCAACAAATGCTTCAAGCACATGTAAGGCGCGACGAGTTTGGTAGGTAGTGGAAACTCTTTGACAAATGGTTGGGAAAATAAAAGCAGTCGATTTATCAATGGACCTGGGAGCAAAGGCGATCATCTTTAGGAATCTGCACATACAAACTTGTGTTGTGCTCGTAATACTTGTCTGTCGCTCGTCTCACTTCCTCATGAAGGTGCCTCGGAACCCCCAAAATACAAAGGAAGTCGTATCCAAGGGCCAACTTCGGATCAGCTGCTGCACGCCCTTCCCCAAAACCTTGACCAACAACTCCAGCAAAACGTCCAGCACCCAAATGCGATCTCAAACAACCAGGGCTGCCATGCAATTACCCTTGAGGATGCACTCTTGGGGTTGTACCTAGAGAGCCCATACCCGCATGGCCAGACACCAATACGGACGTGTTTCTTTGGAGGCACCCGGCACCAAGTCGCCTTAGGAAAATGGGCTGGTCCAAGCGGCAACCCGCCCACAGCTCTGGCAATCTGCGGCTTCTCTTCCCTTGTGGACCACATGGAGAATAACAACACACCCCAACATGACAGAATATTGTTGAACCAATTGTAGAGTAAAATGTGCAAACAAGGGGTTTGGCCATAGTGGCAACCCTATCAGGCTGTCAAGGGAAACCTGACTGGGCCCAAGTCATGATGCAAAAACGCCTACTACCACAGTTTTTGCCGCCCAAGCCAACACAAGATGTGTAATTCTGGCCCTTTTGCCCCTTTACCAAAACACAACAGGACCATATTTAATTAGTGAAGCTCAAAAAGATCTGTTCCGCCTAGGCCGCAGGAGCGTGTCGTGCAGTCCACCGTGCTGTCCTTCCTTGCAGCCCCAGCAACCGGTGACCCTGGTAGAAACAAGGAAACAAGGGCATCATTGCCTTGCAGTCGGGTGCTGAAGATGCAGGTCCATGCAGTTGCTTCCAAAGGAGGCTCAAACTGGTTTTGGTTAATTGCACATGTTTGTAACTCTCACCCTTGATACTGACTCCGTTTGACAACCCCGTGCAATGAAAATTCATTCAACACAAACTAATAGTGGAAAAACGGACCGTCACCTTGCAGAATTGGAAGCAGGCAGAAACCATGGTTATTTTGCAACAAAATGGCCGCAGGGGCCAAGCGTGGTTGAAGCCCTAGATATTGCAGGAACAAGCTACATACCTCCAAGCCAGCCTGTGGTTGCGGCAATGCCTGGCAGTCCGAGTATCCTGTGTATTTCAGGGGCGGCTCCAGTGGCAGTACACTACAGCTGGTTGGTCCAAACACGGACTGAATGAATCATGCATTGGAGCTGCAACGAACCGATGACGTCCAGGATGTGGAGAAATGAGGAATGTCGAGACCCCGCTGAAGGATGCTTCATTGTGCACGAGCTCGCTTAACGCGATCCCTTGCTCAAGGTTTCGTTTTCGAGCCTACAAATCTTCATGGGTGCTGTGTAATGGAGGTCCGTCCTATTTTCTGTTCGTGATACAACCCTGGTGGCAAGCAGAGGGACTGTCCGCAAAACAGACCGTCCATTCCTGAGTTTGTTGTTATAGCTTGAATGCTGGTTGCTGGCAATAGGCTGGTGGCGATCGCCTTTTCCAGCAGAAGAAAAGGCTCCACGACAAAGTCCGCGAGTCAAACCCTTCATTCTGTGTCATGAGTAAGCCAGAAAGCATGCAACTGTTGACATGAATTTCCCATTTGAACAAAGATGCAAATGATGAAAACCCACTCCACCCCTTCCATTCCCTTGAGGCGCCCAGTCTGATGCACCACCGTCACCGTTCCCCTTTGAACCACAAAGGATTTCTGTGTCACAAATGCAGCTAAGAGTAATAGAAACTTCCCCGGCACGGAGCACGCCCTGCATCCCAGGCTCCACGTGGGGAATACCCAAGATGTGCAAGAGGGGGTTGCAGGACACCGTACCTGTGGCAAAGCAATTTGCCCACAAACCGCAAATTTGGGCCCATCTGCGCATCGGACACTGCAAGCTGTTGGACCTGTCGAATCAACTAGGGCCCCGCTCAGAGCCGCTGCTTCGGGAGGAACGCTACTTGACAAGTAAATTAATTATTTTAGGTATAACAAACCGATCCCAAAGAGATACCACTTTTGGCCTCTTGAAGTCAAGTGCCTCCCAGCGGGTTGGGGGCCATGAACCCCAACAAAAGACCGGATCTCTGCACGGAGCACAGTTTGGATTTCAAGGAATACCCTCGGTCGGATGCCTTTCGGAAGGGGGCTTGACACTTTCATGCTTCTTGGCTCAAGTCTGAGGGTACAATAATCAGATGTTCAGATTCATCCTGGCCCATATTCAGCCTATCCCAAGGCATCCACAGGCTATGAAATCATTTTGAAGGAGAGCCTCACATTTCCAAGGTGGGGGATGGCCCAGAACAGACCCATGGAAGCCATGGTTTGTTCGTCCCCAATCCGCCGAAGGGACTTTTCCCCGCGCATCGGCGCAAGCCATTCGCGCAGCGAACTCCATGTGGCACTCGCTGCGCCTTCGGCTTATCGGGGGGGCTGGTTGGATGGGCTTCCTTTTCAGAGATCACCTTCTGCTTCATTCAAAAAAGAAACAAAGCGGATTCCAGTAGAACCAGGAGGAACCGGCTGTTACCCGAAAGTAGTACGTTCAATGCGGCTTGCAGGGAATTGGGCGAGAGATCTGAATAACTTCCAGCTTCCTTTAAGGATGGGACAAAATGGAATGAAGGCAATGCAGGCAAACCTCCAAATCGTACATTTGGACTGGTCGGTGAGTCGATAGTCCCGGTGTAACTCTTGGGAATGGTCCAACTTTAGGTCTCATCCGTGCGCCGGTACGAAAGTCTATACTAAGAATGTTGAAGTCATTGTTGCTGTCCCTCTTTATCTCTTCCTATGTTCTCTGTACTGTCAAGCTCTTGGTATCTTTAGCTGGCGGTGCAGTCCCAATAGCAATTAATCTCTCATTTCTTTAAATAAAGAAGGCAGGTTGCAACAGGGGGCCCGAACGAGGCCGAACGATGTCAGGCACCCCCCAAAACACACCCACTGCCATTTAGCGCTGCTTGCTGACAACAAACGCATCAAGTCCTGTCTTCTGCCTTGCTGCTCTTGTGACCGGAGCCCCACGCAGAACCATTGCTTCTTTCCAACACTGCCTCCGGTCCCGTTTGATCGCGCAATTCCTGATGATCTGGCTACAAGAAGCCTCACCCAAACCCTCGCCCGTGCGCTTCGACTTCAGAACCGACCACAGCCGCACTGACTTATTCACCCCATTTGGGTTATGCCCTCTCAGTGGGGAAGTCCCTTGAAATCCCTCATGCTAACCAACCAACAAACAAACCAACAAACCAACAAACCAACCAACCAACCAACCAACCAACCAACCAACCAACCAAACCAACCAACCAACCAACCAACCAACCAACCAACCAACCAACCAACCAACCAACCAACCAACCAACCAACCAACCAACCAACCAACCACCAGCTCAATGCGGATGGTCCATCCGTCCGTCCAGACTCGCCGCGCCTTTGGCCTCGAAGCGCTCCAGGCCGTAGACGTCCTCCGTGAGCTCCGCGGAGTCGACTCGGAGCCCCGGGGCGCTGAAGCTGAGCCGCGCCAGCCCCGAGATGACCCGCATGTCCTCCTCGGTTGCTCCCTGAGTAACTGAGGGAGCCGGAAATGGGAGTGGGGTCGGACATCCTGGGTAACCATAAAATGGAACCCTGGCAAATGGAAACAAGGACCCACACCTGGGCGGTTTAATATGGTGTAATTTTCACCCATACCCAACGAGGCGATCGCCTTTTCACTCCAGGCTATGGGTCGGATGCGGTTGTGGATCCACCCCATGAGGTCCTGTAGTTGGCTTGCAACCAACCAAGTTGTACAGGAGTCACTATATTGTCCCCCTAAACATCATACCAGCAAAGTCACTTTTAGTTGCCACCCACAGGTAATACCTGCAACCAATGGGAAAACCTAGGGACCGTAAGAAGACACCACGGGCTTTCTACTCGATCGCGTCGCGCTTGGCTCCTCGGCCAGCTGGAAGTCGAAGACCCCAACATAGGCCTCGCAAGTGGTTGGAACGTACACCGAGGAACCAACGTGGTTCGTTGATTCCAGCAAGGACAAGGCTCTGAATCAGACTCTGCACCGTGAAATTTCTAATAGACCTCACCTGCAACCAAAGGACCTGGAAGTAAAGATGATCACGCTTGGAAATCGCAGGAATTTTCTGAACATAGACCAAAGCAAGAACCAACAAGTCCAAAGGCCGACTTGCTTTGGGCAATCAAGTGCCCCTCAGCCTCTTAATGACCCAAGAACAGGTCGGGGAGTTCCAAAAACGAAAAAGGCCCCTAAGCTATGTTTGTCCTGTTCTGTTTTGCTCTTGGTGTGTAATTTAGTTTGCCGCTGCGTTTGTTCTGTTCAGTTCAAAATTTGTTGTTTGCTTTCAGCTGGTTGTGAGTCGAACAAACTGTTCACATGTCCCCAGAAGTGCGATCCCCCAAAAAGCCATCCTGCAAACACAAACAGCAACAGTCCACACCTAGAACCAGGCAAGACGTCTTGTTCAGTCCATGGTTGATTCTGGAGCAAATTTTGCCAACATAAAAAAATATGAAAAACATGCAGGTGTGGTTCGCATCTTCACTGCGTTGGAAACCTCCAAAAGAAAACTGGGTGAAAAATCGGGATTGGGGAAAAAGCTTAGAAACGATCCGTCGCCTTCTGGCTTCCTTTAGGAGTTCATAGGCATACTTTTTTTGCAACTCAGAAATGAGTAACATATGAAGAAACCACCTCACTGGCAACCCAGCAGTGAGCATACGGCCTGCTGAACACCCGCACAGCACCCGGCAAACAAAGCACGCCCCCAGACAGCTCCAAACGGAACAGGATAGCAAAGAAGCAAACAGCTGACAAAACAAGCCAACCCTAAAACACAACATGTGTTTGCGTGTCTACGTATATTTTATATGTATGCAAGTGTGTTCTGAGAGCCCAGTTTAGCGCCTGACCAAAAGGACAGTCACCAAAAGGTGTTTTCAAACCACCAAACGGGGAAGTGTTGGAAACAGTCTCTGTTTTCCCTTAAGAAATCACGCCTGCCAAGGGTACCTGGGCAACCAAAAGCTGATGTTTACAATCTCCAACGAGCAACCCAAAGATGGGCCTGACCCGATGGTGGAGGAACTGAAAGGAAGCCAACAGAAAGGTTCCTTGACAACCTCTTTCTGGAGAAATACATGCATGCCTAACGATGCCCCAAGCCCTGGGCTAAACAGAAACATCCAGAAAAGCAATCCCCAAATCGCGCAGCAAATGCTAAAACCCACCAACTGCCCAAAACCCAACCTACCATAACAACCCAGCACCACAAACCCCACCGCAACCCCACCATGCCAACGCACCAAGATACCAACCCCAAGGCTTTCCCCGCGCATCCGAAGGCCTCCGCGTGGTCCACCACCAAAGCGAGACCCAGCTGAAGCGCCCAGCGCCCCAAGACCTCCGAGCTGCTGCGACCCACGGACCTCGGAGGTCCGATTCGCGCTGAGGTCGTGCGCCGAACAAATGAGAAAAGTCACCACCCAGGTTTTCTGGTGTTGGTGTAATTGTTAACTGTCAAGATTTGGAGGGAGGCTCTTGGATTTGGGCGGAGGGATCACTTTGGGGCTTCATGTCCACTTGTGAAGGTTGCATGTCATGTGGGAAACCTGCAACCCACAACCGGCTTGACCCGAATTCCCTGTGGCAGGCCAAGCCACTTTGCCACTTGCAGAAGGTGCGGGTCCTCCTCGGGCCGCAGAAAACTCGTTCCGAAGGTACCTGTGACTCTGTTGGCGGCCACTGCCAGGCCCTTGGGCAACGCCCAGGCAAGGACCGAGGCATCCGTGTAGGGGGAGAACCTTGGTCTACAAAAAGCACTGGCGGTAAACGTGGCGGGTATCAAGCATCGTCAGGCTATACGGGCCCTTGCTCAAGAGGCACACGAAAAGACAACCCGAAGTCACTCTTTCAACAACTCAACACACACATATGTATATGGGATTGAATTTTTTACGGGGGCCGGGCAGGAAGGTTTGAGTACGGGGTATGATTCGCAGGTATGATTCGCGGGTATGAATCGGGATATGATTCGGGGGTAGTAATATTGTACAAGTAACAAGTAGTAGTACAAGTAGTAATATTGTAGTAGTAACAATAGTAGTAGTAGTAGTAGTAGTAGTAGTAGTAGTAGTAGTAGTAGTGATAGTAGTAGTTAGTAGTAGTAGTAGTAGTAGTAGTAGTAGTAGTAGTAGTAGTAGTAGTAGTAGTAGTAGTAGTAGTAGTAGTAGTAGTACTAATAGTAGTAGTAGTAGTAGTAGTAGTAGTAGTAGTAGTAGTAGTAGTTCTAGTAGTAGTAGTAGTAGTAGTAGAAGTGGTGGTAGTGGTAGTAGCAGTAGTAGTAGTAGTAGTAATTGGAGTAGTAGTACTAGTAGTAGTAGTGGTAGTAGTAGTAGTAGCGGTAGTAGCAGTAGTAGTAGTAGTAGTAAATAATAGTAGCAGTAGTAGTAGTAGCAATAGTACCAGTAGTAGTAGCAGCAGTAGTAGTAGTAGTAGTAGTAGTAGTAGTAACAGTAGTAGTAGGAACAGAAGGATCCACTATAGTGGCGCGGAAGCTTTGAAAAGACTTGGCGCTGGCCTTGGCAAAGCAAGTTCATTGCGCGGGTATGATTCGGGTATGATTCGCGGGTATGAATCGGCTAGGTGCAAAACGGCACTGATTACAAACTCAGAATGATGAATGTAGTAGTAGCTGTTGCAGTAGTAGTAGCAGTAGTAGTGGTAGTAGTAGTAGTAGTAGTAGCAGTTGCAGAAGTACTGGTAGCAGCTGTAGCATAAGCAGCAGCGGCTGTAGTGGTGCGGACGCTTTGAAAAAGACTTGGCACTAGCCTTGGCAGGGGAAGCTAACTGTCCGGGTATGATTCGGGCATGATTCGCGGGTATGATTCGGCTAGGTGCAAAACGGCACTGATTAAAGACTCAGAATGATGAATGTAGTAGTAGCTGTGGTAGTAGTAGCAGCAGTAGTAGTGGTAGTAGTAGTGGTAGTAATAGCAGTTGCAGAAGTACTGGTAGCAGCTGTAGCATAAGCAGCAGCGGCTGTAGTGGTGCGACGCTTTGAAAAAGACTTGGCACTAGCCTTGGCAGGGGAAGCTCATTGTCCGGGTATGATTCGGGCATGATTCGCGGGTATGATTCGGCTAGGTGCAAAACGGCACTGATTAAAGACTCAGAATGATGTATGTAGTAGAAGCGAGTAGCAGCAGCAGCAGCAGCAAGCAGGAGTAGAAGTAGTAGCAGAAGTAGTAGTAGCAGTAGCAGTAGCAGTAGCAGTAGTAGTAGTAGTAGTAGTAGTAGTAGTAGTAGTAGTGGTATTAGTAGTAAAGGTCGTAGTCGTAGTAGTAGTAGTAGTAGTAGTAGTAGTAGTAGTAGTAGTAATAGTAGCAGTATAGGTAATAGTCGTAGTAGAAGTAGTAGTAGTAGTAGTAGTAGTAGTAAAGGTCGTAGTAGTAGTAGTAGTAGTAGTAGTAGTAAAGGTCGTAGTCGTAGTAGTTAGAAGTAAGGGTAGCAGAAGCAGAAGTAGAAGCAGTAGAGTAGTAGTAGCAGCGGTAGTAGCGGTGGTAGTGGTAGTAATACTCGTAGTCGCGGTAGTAGCAGTAGTAGTAGTAGTAGTAGTAGTGGTAGCAGCAGTAGTAGTAGTAGTAGTAGTAGTGGTAGTGGTAGTGGTAGTATTGGGTAGAGCTGGTGGCGGTTGTTGTGGAGGCAGTGAACAACACAAAACGGTAGAAGAACAGTAGCATCTTGCAGCATACGTTTTAAGAGTATGATTCGGGGGTATGATTCGGGGGTATGATTCTGGGGTATGATTCGGGGAGGTCCCACCTTCTGCCTTTTGAAGCAACTCAACACACCAAAAAAGGACAAACCCATACATACATACATATATATATACATACATCCAGCCTCTCGGGGGTCCTTTGTGTTTTTATATGCCTTGCATTGTTTTTTATCCCCCCGGCGAAGTCAAAGAAGTTGAAGCGCCCAGGTGCCGCGTCTGCACGTAGACCGGCGCCACGTGGACGCCCGGCAAAACCACCGCGCCGGCGCCGGTGACGTCGAGGTCTGCGAGGCCCAGCGATCGCAGCGCGCCCTTGGCGTGGAAGGCTTCCAGGACCTCCCAGACCTGACGTGAAATGGGTTCTTAGAGGTTGCCCTAAAGTGGAAGGTGGCTGGCTTGACGGTGATCCCGAGAACTTTCCTTAAACATCACCCCAAAGGACAGAAAAAAACTTTCAATTGGCCCAGGTGATGCTTAAACCCAAAATGGGAAATACAAGGAACCCTGTTTAAAAGGGAAGCCACAAGTCAAGCACCCCGTTTTGGGGGTTAAGGGAAACACCCTGTTCAAGGCTCACCCCCAATTGGTGGTTTGGATTAGTGGTTTGGACGGGTACATTCGATGGGCAGTCCGGGTTTGAGGGCGCTTTTGGGAAGACTAGAATTAGACCAAACAAAGGCGGCCCTGATTAACCAAACCAACTGAGCCGCACTCGCCCAACCACAAAGGGGCAAGTTCTTGGCTTGCCCCTGCCCTGGGCCAAACAAAAGTACGACACTTGGGAAGGTGTGAGGGAAAAACAAACTCTCAACGGGTAAGGTCGCCCCGCCTACTCAGACCATACACGTCCCCCTACACAGGCAGCCCTATGTTCGGGTTGATTCCAGATTCTCTTCACCTGCTCTCTTCCGAAACCACATCCTCTGTGTTTGCTTGCGTCTTTTCTGAGGATCCCGGCAAATGTGGACACGGCAAGGCTAGGATCCCAACCCCCTCCTGGATTCCTCCAAAGGCATGGCCTGAAAACGGGCACTTCAGGAAATAGGGTGGGGTTGCAACCTTCATGCATGTTGAAGCAAACCAAAACCCTTCAGGTCGATAAATAGTTGGCCAGGAAAAAGGCACCTTGAAAGCGATTGGATAGCTTGAATAGTTGGAAACCAAAGATTTGAACCCAGCTGAAACCAAATGGGAAAATGCTTCAGCTGCAAACCACCCTCCAAAACGAGCCGATAACCGGGCGTTCGAAACCTCCCAGTGGCATTCTCCTCCTCACGGCCAGCCGGGGCGCGGCACTTTGCGCGGGCTCTGGGCAGGGCTTGACCACCAAAAGGTCCAGGTACTCCACTTCCTCATCTTGCCCGAAGGTAAACACCAACTCAACTCCTGTTTGGGGCCGGCTGCATTTGTCAGCCTGCTGAGTCTGCCGCGGACCTGAGATGGTCCTCACAACTTCTTGGCAACTTACCGTGATTCGTCCGAAATGATTAATTGTTCGGACTGTCCATTGTAGTGGAGGATCCCCTCTTCCCAGGGCTCCTTAAAAAGTATCACCATGCCCTCGCCGACATGTAAAGATTCAGCCATGGCGCACCCTTTTGCCACGTGTATATACACTGCCTTCAAAATGTGTCGTGGGCACCAATCTCCATGTGGCATAACAAACAAGGGAACACCGGCAGAGCGCTCACTAAGGAAACCCTGACCATCAGAATGAGACGCTGCACATGCCAGGGAACTTCAACTCAAGCCCTATTGAGCCTCTTCAACAGAATTCGGCAACAAAGCAAATTTGAGAAAAAGCCTTCCCCAAAAAACATCAAGTTAGGGAACAGCGGTTTGCCGAGTGCTTTGACTGTCTCATCCCTCGGACAAACTACAGGTCCTCGAATAACGCGGCTCCCTGTTGCCCCTTTGAGCGATCCTAAGATGACCCCAAAGATCAACAGGTGATGTTTTTCATGTAACCAGCGGAAAGGGGACATACAGTATCATGGGAGGGTCAAAACACAAGTGTGAACATGTTTGTTTCCTTCTGATTTTCCTTATGCCATTCCGAAAAAGGAAAAAGGCATCCAATAGTTTTGGACGTCCCAAAGGACCCATGACAACGCAGAGCGTCCAGGTGTTTCAGCTGCTGCTGAACTGCCCGCAAGGCGCCCATGGGGTAGCAGTCCTAAGGCAAAGCGAAAGCGGCCTTGGAGAGATGTTCAGAAATGAGCGTGTCTCAAAATAGGAACCTAACTGTTGGTCGTCCCTCTCTTCCCGAAGCAAAACCATCCCAAAAGGATAGCATGAAAAAATACGCACCCATGGGAGCCATCGCAAAGAACTGGCCATAAGATTGAACGAAACTCCAACGAGACACGAGCGGAGGGTCACGCCCATCCTCAAGGGGGGTGGCTCCGTAAGGCTTCCGAGAAAAAAGGACTAAAGGAGCCCCTGGCCAACAAAACAAAACTACGACTAGCGTGCCATGGGTTTTGATACCCTGCCCCCCCCCCGCCAAAAGGTGCGCCCTGTTCTCTTGATGTGCCTTGCATCGCACCTCTTGTATGTCACTACGGGCCTGGTTCAGGCTTCTTCGGGGTCGATTGACACCTCTTTCGGTGGCCTCGACCCCACCGAATGAAGAGGGTCTCAACTGCGGAATCGCCGACAAAACTTGGATCATCTGTTGGGTTCAAATGTGAGGCAAGGAAAACTGAAAGAATACCAAAATGCAAACACTTACACTTCTGGTCAACCAAGTCTGGCAATAGCCAAAGAGATCCCAGCGAGCCCCGCGCTTAAGCTGCAGCTGAGATTGATTGTGGGGCCGGACTATGAAACAACCAGGTCAGCCAGGAATCGCATCTGAATTTCCCTCAAAATCACAAAAGCAACCAAAACCTATGGATGCAACCCGCGCCTTGGAGCTGAGCTTGCCGCTCAGGAAGAGCTGCTCCCGGGGCACCTCGGAGTCCTTTAGAGCGCGGCCCAGCTCCTCGCGAGAGCTGAGCGAGGGAGAGCCATTGGTTCCGCATCTTTCCGCCAAGCGTTTGAAGGATCCCTTGAGTGCTAGATGGGGGTCTTCAAAATCAACAGATCCATTTCCACATTTCCAGCAACTCCCAGTGGGCCCCAAACCAGCCATTGGGGGGCTGGTGTGGATGAAATTGACAATTGGCTGTTTGAGCCCAGTGAGACCAAAAGAGTTCAAGTAAATTTGGATGGAAGAGAAGGTCATCTCCTGTGCTTTCTTGACAGGGGACCTCAAATGCCCCCATCCCCTTTGTACATCACCCCACCTTTTTGCGTGATGTTCAAGTTTCATTCAATCCCTACATATGGCAATGTAAAGGGATCGAGCCAAATGGCTAAAAAGGAAACCAAACAACCGTGGGTGGTGGGGAAAAATGTCGCCTATTGGGTAGCCGCTAGGGCGGGAGAACATTCGCTTAAACTAGGTCACAGGCCACTTCAAGGCGAGTTCCAAGAGCATGTTTAATACAACAAGATGTTCAGTCATGTCGAAACCCTTGGCCCACATCCCAAGGACAAATCAAATTTATATATATATATATTATAATATACATATTTATATCACTTTAAGGGCCCTAGAGGCCAGGGGCCGTTCTGCCCAACCCTTGCCACTTGGTCCGGGCCTTCTCCGCGCCGAAGAACTCCGGCAGGTCGATATGCCCTGGAGTTGCAGGGAGAACAAGCGGTGAAAGCAGGGACTTCCATGCCCCTGTGGCACTCTCCAGCTTGACATGGAGTAGAGGGCCCTCCTTTGCCGTAAATCAAGCTGACAGCAACCAAGAAATGACCCGTTTTCTAGGGGTCCCTCCAGCGAGCCGAGCGGCTGTAGCCCAGCTTCAAGGCGTGGCGCAACTGCTCGTAGAGGGCCGTAGCTTTGACCTCGAGCTGTTGATGCAAAGGGGGGTGACCAGGTCTGTGGCGAAAGGGGTCCTGTGGATGGACAAGCGGCTTCAGCTCTGGTGCGGAGTGACAAGGGCGTATGCAGTTCAGGTTTTGGAGCTACGGAGGTTTTATGCGAATGAAAAGCGGAACATACCCTCAATGGTTACATTGGTACCGGTGGTACCAAAGTACCCATACATCAAAAACCCGTAATTGCGCGAAAACGCCCTTGACAACGATCATTGTTCCACAGCAATATTAAAAAAATAAAGTGCCTTCTAAGGCTTCTAAGGATCTCCAAACCGGGAGCTTGCCCGAAAATAAAAGAAGTCAACCAAAGCTAAAGCGGTCTTCGCAAACAAAAAGGATTAAAGTCCAGGAGCTTTGGAAGCGTGGGCCACGGAATCTCTCTTTCGCTTTCCGAGCTGCGGGGATCTCCCACACGGGCCCGGGCCGGAAGGACAGCAGTGGCATCTCCTCGTCCGGCGGAGCTGGAATTGTCCAAGAAAAAACACGTGGGGTTCGGGAATCAGAGGAGGGCAAACGGGTTCGTATCTCAAAACGGTTCACTCCCAACAAGGGTGCCTCCCCCCTTTTCTTTCAGCCCAAGAACAACGCGCGCGCACACACACACACTGTCACACGCACGCACACACCGGCAGTCGCTTTAATTTGTCCAAATATATAGCATGCGCTCGCCCCTCTCCTCTCCCAGAGTAAGACGGCCATTGCAACCGCTCGGCACTATCTATATCTCACCTCCCGAGTGATTGGCAACCTGATCCCCTTTCGATTTCCCTGTGGGTAAGTTAAACCTCATGTGCTATTTGGCACCCATGCTTTTTAACAGCTGGACCTCCACAGATTCTCTCCTGGCCGTTGCTGAGTCGCAGCGCGCTGCTAAGGTCACCAGAGGTGGGAACCACCACCGACCTGCCGAACCGCCCCGGTGTGCAAACTAGAAAGTTGTGTGACAAATTGAAACATACTCCATCCCCCTGGCTTTCTTTGGCATTTAACAGTCTCCTCAAATATTATTCACCCAATTAACATGGGGTCCCAAACAGGGGTCGCTCCAAAGAAGCTTCCTCTAGAAATGAGAGGGTCTGCCTCGATGGACTATCGAAACGGTACCCATCCCTTGGCTTTCTTCGGAGCCAATATGGGAGTTATCGGAGCTATGGCGTCCCCAAAGAATTGAGTCCCAAATATTCCAAGAAATCGACAGGGAATGTCTACAGGACACAAGCTAAATTCCCGATACGGGAAAGGCCACCGAGGTGGAGACTGTATTTCGGAGAGGCCTCGCATGCTTAAAGAAGCAGCAACAAGCCTGTGTTGTCCTGGCGGTCATTGCCCCTGCCCAGCAAACCGTTTGACTCCTTGGTGGTTCTCCAAACAGGATGACTTTCTGATTAGTCAAAGCCCCACGTTTTTCCCCAACAACTGGAAGGCGTCAAATGGCAGGCAAGAATTGTAGTTGTATGCAGCTTACTGGGGTTGACTCTCCTGATTTCCTTGTCCCCGTGCGTTGAATAAATACACTTTGCTGCAAGCTTCCCACTGACTCCCCCGATGGAATCCAGCCAGAAGGGAGCCAGAACTGACCCAGTTCTCGAAATCCGCTGGTACAGGTGATTTGTGTTGACGGGCAGTGCTTGCTTGTACCTTTTCCCACAACAATTTGTGGAATAGACTTGCTGGTTCCCAGTACGAAAAAACAGGGGCTTTGAGAACGATCCAATGCCACAGGGGATGGTTGGCAGGGCATCAGGTTCCACCCGAAAAGGAGCTAACAAGGACCACACAGCCCTATCGATCGATTCCCTTTCTTCTCGAACCTCCGGCCTGGCAGGAAAGGGCAGGCGCAGGCCGTGGCTAGCGCCGGACACCTCCAGCCGGGTCCCCCACCTCGGCTCGGAAGCCCCAGACCCAGCTTTTGGGGTTAGGGCCCAGGTCCAAAGCCAAGTGCCTGGTATGAAACCTTTTGCTTATTGCCCCGCAAATGTGTTTGGAGAAAAAAGGGCACCCGGCTTTTGTTGCATTTCATGTTGAAGCGAAACCCTCAATCACAAAAGCAAAATTGGATTCCCATTGGCAACTGGGATGAAGTGTTTAATGGCCAAGTTAGAAACCTGCTTCCTTCCACCAACATGGCAGGATGGTGTTTAGTGAAAAGTCTACCAAGTAAACAGGGGGAGGGTAACTAAGACCAAGAGGCAAATATAAGAAACCCATTGAGAATAGAACTTGAAGGGGTGATTAGAATTTGTACACTGCAAAAGGGCACCTTTCTTTTCAGGAGGCAAATGTCAAAGGACCCCCCCCCTTCCAAACCACTGCCCAAAAAACGGGCGCAACGGCCACGTGTCCAAGCGGCTGGTACTCGGAGGGCACCAGCCACAACTGCAGCGCCCGTAGCAAGCTCCGCGCGGTGCCGCTCACCTCCTCCCAACCCAAGCGCCACTTCTCCGAGTCCTGCGCGAAGCTGGTGGTTCTAAATGGGGACGTCCCTGTTCGGAGAAACACAACATGTGGTCTTCTTTTTTGGGTTTGATGGACAACCACACAAAGGCACCCGAGAGCAAGTGCCACAGTGTTGATTGCCACCGTAGTGGTCGTCCCAAAAAGTATAAAGCTTAAGAATTCGGGGTGCCTGGTTCAAGGCTTAAACACATGGCTTGGCGGGGGCTGGGTCTGAAGTGGTTGCACTGCATGTTGATTCCTCTAGCTTTTCTTCTGGGTAAATTCCCTATTTTCTCTGGGTGGTTAAACCGCCATTTAGAAACTTTGAGGGCAGTTGCAAAGAAAGCCATCGTAGAGATGACGGAAATCATGTCAAACTGTGGCTTCACCTTTTACCCTCGACTTTTAGGAAATGATGGGATCAAAGACTAAGGGTTTGGTTCTCTAAGGGTTCCTGCAAATTGTCATGGAATCCAGCATGGGGCTCACCCAAAAAGAACTGCTCTAGACATTGTGGATCTTTGAGTTTCATAATTCTTTGCTCATGTGTCGCCTTTGAAATCTAATCAGATTCACCTGCCCGTCACTTGGGTCGGCGTCCTGGCCAAGCCAGTACATGAACCTGAGGCACTGGAATCCACTGGAATCACGGACCCCCCTCTCACCCACGCCAAGGCCCCAGTGGCCAACAAAGGACAGCCTTGAAAGGAAAGGCTCTCGAACCAAAGGATGAGACCAGAGAGCCATTTTCATTAGGAAAATTATCCAAACCAGATCCCACCCCTCGAGTTCCATCGCCAATAGGACTATAGGAAGCTAACAGAAACTCTTGGGAAAGCAAGAGGGTCCTCACCTCAAAATGTAGGGGCAAGGCAACAGGCACAAAAAAAGAAAATGTCAGCTTAACAGGTGATCATGCTTCCCTGGTTGCAACAGGCATGTTTTTTACATATATCATATCTATATATATATTCACATTTCTTTCTCTATTGCAGAGAGAGGGACCTACATGCCGCGCTACCTATTGTCGGCAGAAGCCTCACATCTTTCCTGGAAGCACATTCGCGGGCACGGAGCAGTGGTGACAAACAACTGTGCGGGGTTAAAAACTGGATCCGTGTCGAAGCTCAAAAACGCTTTTCAAACAGTATTTCACACAGTTTCAATGACTGCGGGCGCTCTGGAACTTGTCTGTTTTCGTATTCAGGGTGCTTTTCGCGAAACACAGGATGCAAAATAAGCTTGCCCATTTTCAAGCGCAAGTCTTTGTCAGCATGCTGTGTTCGCTATTGCCATTGACTGCAGCAGAGAAACTTAGATAGATCTATTGCACTGCCACCATGTTCGGGTTGCTAGAGAAGGGGGGCTTGACTTTGAAATTGCGGCAGCACCACAGCTGCAAACGGCAAACGCAGGAGAATGCACAACTACGAGGTCGAATCGAGAATACATCCAAACGCATATACATGACTTCGAGTCGAAACCAAAGATACAATATATCCGCCTGAGCAAAATCCAACGGCTAACATGCACTGGGCCGGCCGATGTTACCCCGCCCTACCCCACTCCACCCCACCCCAACCTAACCTACTCGAGGAACCAAACATGTGTCCGGCACCCCCAACCCCCGCCCTCAAACAAACAAACAACCCAAGAACAAATGGTACGTGCAAAATCGTGCAAACACACCAAACAAGCTGAACAAAACACAGAACAAAACAACAATGAACTCAAATTGAGGTCGAATGGACACATCAAGCATCGATGAGGGCAAACAAGCTAGTTGAAGCAAAGTAAACACACAATAATATGGACACTATACAGTAAACCAATGCAAAACGCACCCCGCCCAACCCCAAGGATAACGGCTGATTGTTCAAGCGGCTCGTGCAGCGCAACGATTTGTCGAACCTCCCGCGGATCCAAACGAAGACGGTGAGCACCTGGGAGAAACACGCAGAATCGTCTGAAGTATAGCACATTTCCCACGAAAGCACACATACACCCACACTTTTCACCATCGCAAACATACGATGAATATGTATATCAACATGTGTATAGATACTTGTATGGACGCCATCTCTTGGTCGGACAATTGGTTCAAGACGCTCGGCTCTCTTTTCCGAGGCGCTGGAGGCGTGCTCCAAGGCCAGGCGCAAGTTGTTCCAGCTGTAGCGCCAGGCTTGCGCCACCGCCAGCCACGCGCCCTCGGGAGCGGGGCGGGGGAGGGGGGAATGGAGGGGACAAGTTGAGGTGGCTCTCACAACAACAAAAAATCTTACATATGTGCTATCCAGCCAATCTAAGGGCGCCAGCCATGAGAAGGGAGACACCATAGCATCATAGTCTGAGAGAGAACCTAAAGTAGCACCATCCTTGGGGTGACCCCGCATGGTCGGCCTGACTTTACGAACCACGCTGCGCTTCACTGAATGCCCCGCTGAGCCCCCGCGAAAACAAAAGTGTTTCAGACTTTTGGTGGCCATGGCAAAAGCGGGCACCTCATGCAAGAAGAACACAGGCGCGGGCACCTCATTCAAGAAGAACACACCGGCAGCAAATCCATCCAGCGCCCCTTGCATTCAGCATAGCCAAGCGTAACAGGGAGCCACCGGGCAACTGCTGATGTGCCAGCCCAGAACGAAAAAGTGGGCCCCCTCCCATGCGTTAGGGTAGAACCCGCCATCCTGCATTGCTGGGCATGTTTTCCTTGAATAGCCTCCTGTGCAGTTCCAGCTGTGTTGAAAGGACAACGTATTCATGTTGTCTTGCCTGGTTTCATGCAGCACCACAGTGTTTTTCTTCTTTCCTTTAAAAAAAACTTACAATTGAAACACCACTGCTACCAAGGGAAACTGACCTTAGGCTAACATGTCGTAAACACATACAACCTCATGTTCCTTCCTCAAAGGGGCCTAGTGTCTGATTGCTTACGCCAACTTCGGATTAATCCAGAGGAGCGGACTAATCTGAGGAATCCCCCCAGTGTGGGCGTGGTCCCCCGGATCAATCTGCAAATGAGATTGAACACATTTTGCTCCACCCGGCAAAGGTTTGCTCCGATCCAACGGAAAAGGTGCACAGGCCTTCAGGCCTCACCACCCCTGGATCCGAATCCGGCTCCGCCTCGCAGGCGTCATCCGGACCATTGCAGGCCTGCAAAATAGCAAACGCGTGTAACATCTGGTTGCAAACATGAATGTTGTTGCCATTGCTTATTTGCTTAAGATACTGTACTACACATCTAACATGCTTTATGTTCCTATCGCATCTCAATGCAATTCGCGTGAAGTTGTCAGAATGTCCAAAACATATTGCCCGCAGGTTGAGGCGATCCGCTCTGCAAATGGTCTTCCGCTGGGTGCAGCCAGCCTCGGCCTTGAGTTAAGTGGGTGCATGGACCGCACCGCAAGGGGTGTGTTGCCAGCAGCCCGCTGGCATGTGTTGGGTACAACGGCAAGTGGGCCCTTACTAAGGTAACTTACACCTTTGACACAAACTTCACACGGGTAAATCGGTTGAGGCCATTGTGACAAAGGAATCAGCCCCGTTTATGCCCAGCATATTATTGTCCCCGTGCCGTTGCTGTTTGGTGGCTTGCGGCCTTTTGTTTCCAAAAGTACGGTGGACACATTGCACGAGTGCATCGACCAAAATAAGGCCTGATTTAAGCCCCCGATTAACACGAGGAAGCATGACTCCGAAGTGGACATTGAAAGGATCGAATCGCTTATTCACAAAAACACATGTATATGTGTAAACATTATTGAGTTACGCCCTGCTGTTTGCTTGAATTGTCTCTTGCAGTTGTCAGAAAATACGTGCATCTTCAGGGAACAAGTGTATACTACATGTGCATATGCAGGTACATTGAGGAAGACTGTCGGTACTAGCCTCCCTCTAACTAAACATGCCCGAATTTTCCAGCCGACTGCCAGACAATACTACTTTACAGGCACCCACCAGGTTTGGCCATGGTTTGGCCAAGCGACCCCTCTGAACAATGATTCGTGCCTTGCCGGCCCAAAATCCCCAAAGTAGCAAAAGACGGAACTTAGAATGACCAAAGCTATTGCCAATGCAGCAATGCAGTGTAACTCCTCTCATAGTCTCAAGGGTTGTGCTTCCAGTTGTTTTTTTCATTCGGATTCCAGGCGGACCCTCTTGTCGACCTTCAGGGGGGCAGGAGGGATTATTCATCACGTGCCTCCATTAGATGCCATTACCCAAGGGGTGTGTGGATGTGGCGGCTGCGCTTGAAACCTGTGGCTCACCAAAACATGTGTGCCAAAACGCTCTCAGCACCGGGCCTCCGGCACCTGCCGCGCCGCCCACAGTGCCGCCTCCGCAAACGCCGGCGCCCGCGCTGACTTTGCAGCTGCCGAAGGAATCGAAGCCGCAGCCAGGAGGGCCAGGGCGGCCATGGCAACAGGATCAAAGGGTCAAATGACCATGCACATGTTGGCCCGGAGATTGATGTGTGAGTTGTGCGATGGTTCCAATAACAAGACACAAACTAAGGGACCCACAATAGCCCGCATCTTGGTGAGCGAATCGTAGCCTTCAGGTGAGCTTCCCACAAAATAGGGGCAGGATGGGGTCCAGTTGGTTGGTGCCGGGGCCGGGTTAATGACAGGATGGTGGATTGGGGTATGCCCTAAAAACTCAAGGCATGATTCTTGGGCGGGTGGTAGTCTAGTCCAGCCTGGTTTATTTTGCCCGTGTGCTTTGGCAATACCCGTCATACAAATGTCTGAAATCTGGGGACCAGCGATTCCTGTGCGCAAATGCACGCTGCGTTCAGGAGAACCCGCCAAGTGCTGAAGATTGCAGGGAGGAAGCATGGATGCCTTGATCAAGCACCAAGCCAAACACGAAGAAATATGGCGATGAAAGCTGCCCCAAGGCAGTACTAAATTGGACAGGACACCTAGCGTCAACTTAAAACAACAACTTCATCTGGATGTTTCTCTAAACGTAGGGGCCTTCATGCTCAGTTACTTTTCGGTTGTCCTGGACCGCGATGGTTTGCCGTTTCGCCCAGAATGTGCCTTTGCGTTTTGAAGGCAGGTAGACCCACAACAGAATTCGCAGTCCCCACGGCTGCGTGTATCGCTTGGAAGGGCATCGGTACCCTCAAACTCCTTTTTGCACACGGTTCCGTGCATGCTACCTGCAAGCATCACGCTTCCAAAAGGAAATTCAACCAAATGTGCGTCAAAAGGTCACATTTAATCCACCCAACAAACGTCAGCATTGCATAAAGCCCCATTCCACTTTACCCGCAATTCACAAACACCTAAGGAAATCCGTCCACGACCCAGCCAAGGGAAATACAAGGACCCCTGAACCATGAAAAGGAAGGGTTGCCCAGATTAGGGGCCCTCTTTGGTAACCTGGCATCCGCTCCCCTGACAACCTCGATTCGGGGCACGCGTGTGGTGTTGGGCTTGTCCCCCAGGCACGCGCTCTCTGCCACCAATTGGCCGTGGCCTTCCTCGTCCTCGACGCGTCCAGCGTTGCAAAGCCGGAGAAAGGGTCAACGGCTTGACCAGATCCGGACCATGCCCCTGAAATCCAATTGAGGAGCAAAAATAAACCATGATGGGTGAAGGGGTCACTGAGTCTGTGGGGATTTGTTATATCCAGGACCGGTCATGGAAGGATTATATGACACACACGGGGCCAGCTTGGTACCAAAGGAAGTTTGTACCAGAAGTGGCTATCCTTGACAAACAAAGAATCAGGGCTCAGCACAGCATCATTCAAGTTGGAAAACCCTTCCAAATGGTCATGATATTGCTCTGAAAAATGGTTGCCAACAAATGGAACTTGTTGGTTGGTACCAATAGCCAATGCCAACAGTTGTTGGTACTCAAACGTCCATGCCAAAGCAATCTCAGCTTTCGCCCTGAGCCCAACATGATATGTCTAATGTAAAGTCATGTTAAAAGAGATTCCAGAAAAGTGTTTGATAGCGAGAGACAACCAAACGATTCGATATCACCGGCAGTGTTGGGCCCCTTCCAAATTGAGCCTTAGCATATATGAGATGCGTACATACACACACATATATATATATATAGATAGGTTTATATATGTATGTGTATAATAAGCATGGGCACATGCTCGCGACCCCGGCCCCCTGAACACCTAAAGGAAACAATGGGCTAGGGAAGGGACCATGATAGAGGACAATTCAGATTGGTGCAGCATATGATAAGAAAGAAGCATGTGAAATCAATAGCAAATGCACCCCAGGGAGAATTGACACCCCATTTGGGGATGACCATTTCAGCTGGAGAAGCTGCCCAACACACGGAGATTGTGAGTGAATCCTGCATGCAAGCCCGAGCCCCCGGTCCATCACCCTCACCCCCGATCCTTGCAGTGCACACTCCGCGAGTCAATCCTCATGGAAAAGAGGGGCAACATGGCCCGAGACTCTGCTGGAAAATAAATCCCCCGTGCAGGAAGCGTTTTTTGCTTCCCACTTTCTTACAATGGGATTTTCCGAATACAGGGGCCATGCCAAACAGGACACATCTTTTGTTGGCATTTGATCTGAAAGAGAACCCCTCTCAACAAAAATGGAAGAAACATACATCACTGCAAGTCTGCATTTCGCTTCGGCCACGCGGAAAAGTGGCCCTTCCTCAACGCTGATTCCTGAGGGCTTGTCCTGGTCACAGCCCAAGTGGCAACAGATTCACACAGATCGTGCTTTGGTTCCTCAAGCTAGACAGGTGATTTTAATTTTCAACCTGCACACATCCCTCCCCAGAAAAATAAATATAAATAAAAATGGTCTGCTAAAACAGCTTCTGCCTTTTGGTGGTCTGCCTGTCCGCATCTTTGGGGCTTTGCATTGGGCCGCTCGGGGCTCGCGCTTTGCCGGCTGCCCGCAGCTTTGGCTGCAGGGCTCGGAGGAGCCCGCCCAGGCCTCAGAGTGTGACAGTTGGCTGGGCTTCTTTGTACAGGTTGGGGAAGGGAAGCGACGAGAAAACATGCCGAGGAGGTTGGGAACCCCATTCTCAGTGTCACTCTTGTGATATCTCGCAATATGAGATGGGAACCACTAAACGGCACAGGGTTTCCCACAGGCAGACAGGACCAAAGGCCCCAACGGGTACTCTGGAAACCTCATAGAATAGAAATTAGGAGGCTGATGAAAGGAAACTAAAGGAAACCGCACCACAAAGGCTCGGAGTAGCTGTGCCCAAGGAAACCAATGGCATCCAGGCAACACTTGCCTGATTTGTTCCTTGCTTGAATTCTCTGCCTTTCGTTGGTTATGTAAAAGAATCCCTCCAAAACGA